GAGGGAAGTGAGTTAACCTAAAACGATAACTCGCTTTCCTCTCTCCATAAATGCTACCTGACCTGCTGAGTGTTTCCAGCGACTTCCATTTTTATTTCAGATTTCCAGCATCTGCAGTATTTTGCCTTTTGCGAACCTTTCCATGTCTGCTTATCTACATTGAGCTCCAATGTGAAAATGCAACTGAGAAAATGGTCAAAATATACAGTTATGCATGTATGTAAAATGTAGATAACATTGCTAAGGACATTATTTAGTTTCTCAATGACAGTAAATTGCAGATTAATAATCTCACTTGTACACACAGTTGGATTTTTTTCACCAGTCACACAGTTATGTTTTTATACTTGCTTTTCTACACAGAAAGAGAAAGAGATTGAAAGTGAGAACATAAGAACCTAAGAGTTAGGAGTAGGAGTAGACCATTCAGCCCCTCTAGCCTGCCCCGCCATTCAATAATAATAATAATCCTTGCATTTGATATAGCGCTTTTCACTTTCGGAGGACGTCCCAAAGCGCTTCACAGAACACACTGTAAAGTGAATTGACTGTATATTTGTGGGCGAACACGGCAGCCAATTGTGCACAGCAATGTCCCACAAATAGTCGTAGATTGAAAAAGACCAATTTATTATTGTTTGTGGTTTGGAGGGATTATTATTAGATGTGTGGAGTAAGGAAACTTGCCCAAGGTTTCGCCCTGTCTGGAATTGAACTCAGGTCACTCGCTTGCAAGGCGAGTGCTCTAACCACTGAGCTACAGGACTCCACAGAGTAAGATCATGGCTGATCTATTCTAACTCCACCTACCCGCCTTATCCCCATATCCTTTAATCCCTTTACCCACAAGAAATCTATCAATCTCAGTCTTGAATATGTTCAAGGACTGAGCATCTACAGCCCTTTGGGTATAGAATTCCATAAGTTCACTACCCTCTGAGTGAAGAAGTTTTTCCTCAACTCAGTGCGAAAGGACTTACCCCTAATTTTAAGACTGTGACCCCTGGTTATAGTTTTTCCAACCAGGGGAAAAAGTCTCCCATTATCTATTCTGTTGTGCCCATTAATAATCTTATAGGTTTCTATAAGATCACCTCTCATTCTTCTATATTCTAGCGAACATAGGCATAAATTGCTCAATCTATCCTCATAACTCATTCCTCTCCATCCATGGTACCAACCCCGTGAATTTACGTTGTACCCCCTCCAAGGCGAGTACATCCTTTCTTAAATAAGGAGACCAAAACTGCACACGATACTCTAGGTGCAGTCTCACCAGGGCCCTATACAGATGCAGCAAGACTTCCCTACTCTTATATTCTAACCCTTTTGTAACAAATGCCAACATACCGTTAGCCTTCCTAATTGCTTGCTATATCTGCAAACTTTTTGTGACTGGTGTACAAGGACATCCAAGTCCCTCTAAACGCTAACACTATCTAGTCTCTCCCCCTTCTAAAAAATAATCTGCTCTACTGTTTTTGCCACCTAGGTGGATGACTTCACACTTCCCTACATTATACTTCATTTGCCACCTATTTGCCCACTCACCTTGTCTATCTATATCTCGTTGCATTTTTTTAATGTCATCCTCAGTGTTTATTCTCCCTCCTAGTTTAGTGTCATCTGCGAATTTGTATATATTAAGTCTGATGTCCTCATCTAGATCATTGATGTAGATTGTAAATAGTTGAGGCCTAAGCACTGATCCTTGTGGCACTTCACTAGTCACATCCCGCCAATCTGAGAAGGACCCGTTTATCCCTACTCTTTGTTTTCTTCCCGTTAGCCATTCTTCAATCCATGCTAATATATTCCCCTTAATTCCATGGGCCCTAATCTTGTGGATCAACCTTTTATGCGGCACCTTATTGAATGCCTTTTGGAAATCTAAATACACTACATCCACTGATTCCCCCCTATCTAATCTACTTGATATGTCCTCAAAAAAATCGAAAAGATTTGTTAAGCATGACTTCCCTTTTGTAAAGCCATGTTGACTCTGTCTTAATTAAGGATTGTAGAATTTTCCCTACCACAGATGTCAGAATAACTGGTCTATAGTTCCCCATCTTTTCTCTCCCTCCCTTCTTAAATAGTGGTGTGACGTTTGCGATCTTCCAATCAAGGAAGGAAACAAAGAGAATGAAATTTGTAGGGAGAGGGAGAAGGGCTGGCACATTATGGTGCTATAGTGACAGTATAACTCCTGATGGAACAGGTTTCTTAACATTACAGCCAATACACTAAAACCACAGCTAGCTGGAGTAATGGGGGCAGGGGAAAGAGAGATCTAGACCTGCTAGCCGGAAATTCTGGCTAAGTGTATTTACAATGTTGCAACCAGCATTTGCAGGCTTTTTTCAGTGCCCAAAAATGCGGATAAATGCTAATATTGTAATTTTTTGAATCCCATGAACAGAAAATAGTGAATAAGCTATCTTCTAATCACAGGATTGAAACTGAATCAATATTGATATCCTTGGACCACTGAGGACAGTGAGGAGGGGGTATGCGCTAGGGAAGGTGGGCTGACGGGAGTCTGCACACAGTCTGTGGACATTTTTAAAAAAAAATCTGTTTTGGGCCTGTTCCATCTATGATTCAAATTCCGGAACCTGGAGTCTGTCCAGAATTAGGCCAGTCTCAATTAGTGCAGATGATCTGCTCTCTACTATACACGTCTGGGCAAGGATTTAAATTGATTTGAATGCACAAAGCAATAGAAATAAAATAGGGGAACTAGAAACACTACAGTATATAGAAAATTGCTGGATAATGAAACATGACTGGGAACTAAATATTCCTAGGTTTAAGCTTTTGGAAGGATTGCATTTCCCCCTTCCTGGCCTGGGTGTCCTGCCAGCTGTATGAAGCGTTTTAAAATGTCCTCTCAAATTGAAAGGCACTATATCAATGTAAATTGGATTGGATTCTATATTGCAACTTGCTTCACAGAATGATTTTCAGTGATGCTTCATTGCTTCCTTGCAACTTTTTTTTCCTTTGAAATTGTATTTGCTTCTTATATTGGCTGTTATATATTACTAAAGGTTTATGAAACATTCTTTTTTATTCAGCCTCCATGATGCTCTAATTTAGCTACTGGAGAGTGAGATCACCAAGGACTGTCCAAGAGCTTTGTGTTGTGTTGTGCTCGTACATTTAATTAGGTGACCCTTTCATGATCTGCAATGTATTAAGCCTTATTTTGGGTCGTACTCTGTTCTATTCTTTAGTTATTAGCACCAGTTTTCTCACAAATCTTAAAATTATTTTTTCAAAGTTATTTATTTGTTTTGGTTCATTCAGTCCAGAATATGAAGCATGAAACAGAAAAGGTCATTTGGCCCATTAAGCCAGGGCATTCCTATTCCATAAATCTCATGCATTTTCTACTCTTTCTCCCCCTCGTTGTCAGTATTTTCACTGTGAAGGTTTATATAAGGAGAGTACAATTGCCCCGCAATAAACTCCACCAACCTATTTAAGCTGCTGAAGGAAAGTAGTGCATCATTTATCTCCAATTAAACAAAACTTATTCATTCATCCTCCTAATTCCACCCTGCATCCTTCCATGGACAATTGTTCCCTGCCTCTCTTCCATTCCAAACCCCCATACAATACAAAATTACACTTGTATAGGGCTTTTCACATCAGGAGGACATCTCAAGACGCTGAACAGTCAGAGATTTAAACCTGAGCTGGGAGTCAGGATCGGGTAGGAGGGAGGGCAGGGATGGTAGGGGTAGGAGGATGACCGATGGCACAGTTGAAGAGGAGGGTCTTGAAGGAGGCAAGGGAGGGGACGAGGTGGAGGGACTGTAGGATGGAGTGGGTGCAGAGGGGTGGGCATGGTGGGGGACGTGAAGCAGGCCGGAGCCCGCTCAGCGGAGAAAGCGGACAGGTTGGTAGGGGGTTAGGAGGTCACAAAGGTAGAGAGGAGTGAGGCCGTGGAGGGCTTTTAAGGTGAGCACCAGGATCTTGAATGGTATCCTCTGAGTGATGGGAAACCAGTGGAGTCGGGCGAGGATGGGGGTGATAGCAACAATCATGCTTCTTAAGAGTATAAATATTGCTTCTTTTCATGAGAGTTGGATAGTCCGAGACTTAGAATAACAACAACTTGCATTTATATAAATAGGTCTAAATAGTTCTATATAAATCACTCCATTTTGGTGACTGCTAGTGTACCTCTGCAAGATGAAGGGGTTGACCTATGAGGATAGGTTGACTAAACTAGGCCTATATTCTCCAGAATATAGAAGAATTAGAGCTGATCTTATAGAAACCTATAAGATTCTTAAAGGTCTCGACAGGATAGATATTGTGAGACTGTTTCCCCTGGTTGGAGAATCTAAAACTAGGGGTCATAGTCTCAGGATTAAAGGTCAGCCTTTTAGAACTGAGTTGAGAAAACATTTCTTCACTCAGAGGGTAGTGAGTTTGTGGAATTCTCTACCCCAGAAGGCTGTGGATGCTCAGTCTTTGAACATATTCAAGACTGAGGTTGATAGATTTCTAAAGGATAGAGTGATTAAGGGATATGGGGATAGGGCGGGTAAATGGAATTAGGTTAGAAGATCAGCTTTTAAATTATGTAGCAAGATGCAATAAATAGAAGTTTAATGCTCGACTGGGTTTCCTTTTTAGTAATTGGCTTACATCTTCACAATAATGATGTCTTAATGGTGCTATACCTGCATTGTTTTCAGTAAAACATTGTCATTTGATCAATGCAAAACCTATTCAAAGCTACAAATGTGTAATACTCAATTGCAAGGCACTGTTTACGGGCAATAACAAATAAATATTGCTGTACAAAGCTCATTTGTTTGGAAAATATTTTTTAAACAAGGTTGCACAATTCATAATTGTACCATTTTTGTGCGCTCAGTGTATGACATTTTTTTGGATTAGAAGATTATATGTTGTCAATCATAAGAATTTATGTCCTACTTTGAAGAGTTGAGTTCTCAGTAATATAATTTGTTTTTCAGAAGTGCTTTTGGATCCATGCCGAACTTGGTGCCCATCCTCAGCTTGCCAAGCAGTCTGCCAAGTGGAGGAGGTGGACTTGCAGCAACCCCAACTTGTACAGTGTGCTGTTTGTAACTTGGAGTTTTGCTCTTTCTGCAAAGATGTTTGGCACCCAGGCCAGGCTTGCCAAGAAAACCTGCCAATTACCTCGGTACTTCCTGGAGAAACAAGGTACTCTTTTGCTTAATACCTTTGAGGGTAGTGTTGTGAAAGGCAAATTCAGGACAAATACAAGGAAATATTTCTTTACATGTAGAATAATTAACGACTGGACTGAGTTATCACCATGGACTATTGTGGTCAGATGTTGGACTTATTTAAGAAATGGTTGTTATTTTGTAATGGGATGCTGGTATTCTGGAAGGATGGCCCAAAGGCCTTCTTTATTTATTTGAACCTCTAACCATCTTGTGAACCTGGGGTTTAGAATCATGATTATAAGACAATTCAGCCTTCTTAACTAATGTTTTGTTGAATATTTTCTGCTTGTAGTTCATTTTTTGAAAATGATGACGATGATGATGTACCAATCAAACGCTGTCCAAAGTGTAAAGTCTATATTGAAAGAGATGAAGGATGTGCACAAATGATGTGTAAAAACTGCAAACATGCTTTCTGCTGGTACTGCCTGGAGTCTCTTGATGTAAGTAAATCACTATTACATAAGGATAAGAGTGCTTATGAAATGACTAATACAGACTATGTTCTGTAAGACTTTTGATTGGAAAAAGATTTATTGTACATCTTGAGGATTGCACTACAACAAATTCATAATGCAATAATAAAGGGTTAAAATCATTCCGGTTAATTAAATATTGAACCTAAGGATTATGTTGCATAATTTTCATCATCTTGATAAATCCGCCCTGCTTACACTATTTCACTGACCAGGGGGGTTAGCTTCCAGCACCTCACTTGCTTGTTACCCTCTGGCTTCTAACCATCAATAGTGTTTTCATGGGACATGTCTGGCAAGTCTAGGAAGTAGCTTTGAAAAAAAATACATGCCCAGGGGTTTATTTTGATTGCTGTTGTAGTTATATTGTTGTGACACCTGCTTGACATCAGATGGCAAAGGTTGAGGAGAACAGGGTGGTAAGGAGAGCCCTGGTCAAAGATATTGTCATTGGTGAATTTAACCAATGCAGTTTTGGTTTGTGGAGGGCAGAAACTGGATTGAAGGGATTAAAATAGACTAATGAAGAGCTCAGGCTCTTCAGTCTTGAGAAAAGACGACTCAAAGGAGACCTCATAGAGGTGTATAACATTTTAAATGGGATTGAAAAAGTAAACACAAGAAGACATAGGTTTAGAGTTGTAAAGGGCAGTTTCAGGCAGATGCCAGCAAGATTTTCTTTACCCAGAGAGTAATTAACATCTGGAACAGGTTGCCAGTGAAGGTGGTGGAGGTCAGGAACCAAGGCTTGTTTAAGAAGCAGCTTAATGCTGTAATAGGGGGATGGTTGGGTGGATATTCTGGAGGGATGAGATGTGAAGGGCCGAAGAACCTTTTTCTTTCAGACCGATCTTGTGAATTACTGTAATGTACTTTGAGATTATTTAGCATTCTATATAAAATGCAAGAGTTATAATTTTAATATCCTAATTATAATGCGACAAAAGGGTGCCGTTTGTCGCAGTAAACTGAATTAGCAGTTTACATCTATATCATCCTGAACCAGACACTGTCACTCAACAGTAGTGCACATTCACAATAAAGTAGACTTAAGCCAACGTAAATAAGCAAAAAGGTCTTGATTCACAGACAGAAAAGTTGTGACTTAAATCCTGCCATGCCACAAAGCAATAATAATAATATTAATCTTTGCATTTGATATAGCACCTTGTGACGTCTTCGAGATGTCTCAAAGCGCTTCACAGAATATCCTGTAAGGTGAATTGACTATGTATTTTGTGGGCGAAACGCGGGAGCCAATTGCGCACAGCACATAAAAATACTGTACTCGTTACTTGTTACTTTTTCTCAAATAATTAGTTACTAAAAGGTTTGCATTGAGGACTTGGTCTACCAAAGGAGAATCATTTTAGCTAGTGACAATAATTTAAAAGAACTCTGTCTGTATCTAATGAATGGTAGACGTGGGGAATGGTGGGGAGGGTCAGGATGCCGTGCATTATATTAGCTTAGTTTTTGTTTTCGTGAGAAGAATTATATAGCTTTAGCCCAGAAGGGAAACGTTTATGTTACCATTTAAAATTCTAAATTTGTTTCAGTTGCATAGAGTTATCCACCAAAGAACAATCACTCATTTGTATCCGGTGTACAGTTATCTTAATGATTGTACAATATTAGGCCACTGATTTATTCCAGAAGCCACTTTCCTTGTCATCTGTAAAGTGTATTTTATAACATTAGTAATCTTAGATCAAAATCTCTTATTTAATTGTTACTATACTGACGTGTTTAGGTTTGTAGGTTAAGTAAATCTTGATACTGACTACCTGAAATCCTTCAAGTGCTACTTGACCTGCATTGTTCAATAATTTAGGACCTCAAGGATGTAGATTCTGATTATAAGCCTTCAAATAATATTGGAACGTTTGGTGAATTCTTTCTCCATGTGTTCTCCATATAAATTGCACTAGAAAACCAACCAGGATATGAGATCACTGGATCTGTTCTTTGAAAGGTTGAAAGGCCAAATTGATGATTATCAGTATTCTTTCAAACACTGGAAAATGATTCAATATAAGACCTTCATGAGACTGTATAGTACTTTTATTGCATTTCAGAGGATCAAGTCCTGGCAGTGACTGATGCCCAGCTTTGTTTATTCTAAGATCTGTCACGTGTTAAGGCAGACGACGAAGGAGCTTCTTTTAGACCGTACTATTTAATTTCTGTGGGACTTCTCTCCCTCCTCCTCCTCTTCCTCCTCTCCTCCAGACAGTTAAGAGATTGCAGTATTTTCCAAACTACAAGTACAGTTAACATGAATGTGTTCCACAGTCCGATTATCGGTTTAACATTTATTCTAGTGAGATTATATGCAGAACATTTTAGAAAATGCTCTTCCTTCCACAAAATACTCTTCTATAAAGGGCAAATGAAACAGTTGCTGCAAAGACTAATCCTGTGAGGAACTAAAAATAACAAACACGGTTGAAATGAGCAAATCACTAAACTGCCCCTCGCACAATACCACAGTTATACACAGTGTTTCCATTGTGCAGATTTAGACATTCATTCCAATTGCATTAGAAATAGATCCTATATAACTCAGGGCAGTTGTAACGCAAAAATGCATTGTGGTGTTAGGTGATATGTGTAACATTGCGGACCTTAGGGAATCTACCTCGTGTTGGTTTTAATGTTTTGCTGATGCACAATATTGGATTCCATTGAGAAGCTGGTTGTGTGCTCAGTGTCCTGGTCTCAATGACCCTGCCTGGTAACCAGGCCCTCTACTCTCACAAGTCCTATGCAATCTACCCTCCTAAATCCTCCCCGATCACCAAAGGTTATCATGCAAAACTCCAGTTTTTTTTTTTTGGTCAGCCAGATATGTGAAAGATCAGCAACCCATCACTAGGTTTAAGAGTATCCCAACCAGCCTAAGAGTTTGTGCAATTGCCCTATATCTGGAGAGGAATGCACACTCTCTCTCCCTGACAGGATGTACCCTGCTTACCTAATTCCAACTCCATTGGTTGCACGGTAGCAAGGCTTGGGGACTCTAGAATGTGCATCGGGGGTCCTGCTGGAGTTCACATAATAATAATAATAATAATAATCCTTGCATTTGATATAGCGCTTTTCACGTCGGGAGGACAGAACATACTGTAAAGTGAATTGACTGTATATTTGTGGGCAAACGCGGCAGCCAATTGCACACAGCAATGTCCCACAAACAGTCGTAGATTGAAAATGACCAATTTATTATTGTTTTTGGTTTTGGAGGGATTATTATTAGGCGTGTAGAGTAAGGAAACTTGCCCAAGGTTTCGCCCTTCCTGGAATTGAACTCAGGTCTCTCACTTGCAAAGCGAGTGCTCTAACCACTGAGTTACAGGACTCCACATAGCTTACCATTGAGAGCATGGTCTGGCAAACTTCCCCTGAGTTATAAGTTTGCACATGAAGAAAGAACATCTGAATGAGGTACCTGAGGGCAGCTGGTACCTCTGAGAGTGCACTCCATCAGGAGAACATACTTTCAGGAGAGGCTGGGGAAAAAAAACTACAAAACCACTAGTGTGTGGGCAAGCAAATGCTATTTATTATATTTACCTAGAATGAGTAATGTTTTTCTGTTCATTTTTACAAGGGTTAACAGTGATGAGAGACCATGATAAGCAAGTGCTTTTTCACGTTCCAAGTTTGGAATAAAACATTTTAAAGGATAGGTAAACAGTGCGCGTTAAACTCACCTACTTAGTGACCATTCTTCTAAAGTTTCTTCTAGAAACATTTAGGAGAATGTTAAATGGAGGTCACTGGTGTATTTGGTTTGGACAAAGGTAATTTTTTATTTTAATAATTCTTTTCTAAACAGGATGACTTTCTTTTAATACACTACGATAAAGGACCATGCAGAAACAAGCTGGGCCATACTCGTGCATCTGTTATCTGGCACAGAACACAAGTAAGTGAAAAGATCCTGTTTCCAGCATTGATACTTGCAAGCTGCTGGTGGAAAGTCTTATATTCTAATTTAATGTTATGAATGAGTGTCACTCCCAACTGAATTGGGAACCGCTCTAAACTATACGAAATAAATTCCAGTAACTGACCCTTTCATTACTCCTTGTGCTGGGCATTTTTCAACAAACGATGGTGTTGTTTAGCTTAGAACACAACAACAACTTGCACTCATATAGCGACCACCATGCAGGGTAGCGTCTCACTGCTTAACAGTGGCTGAGCCTGACTCCGAGCCGGGATTGGATTAGGGAGTGAGGAGTTTGGAGAGGTAGGGAAGTGCCAGGGATTGAAGGGATTTGAACACGAGTTCAAATCCCTTAAGTGTGGAGCCAGTGGAGCCTGACCAGAACTGGTGAGATGGGGTTACAGAGTTTGGTCCGAGTCAGTATGCAGCAGAGTTCTGGATTTTTGTGATTTTGATTTTAATGGAGCTGGGGAGACCGGGGAGGAATGTGTTTGAGCAATCCAGGCGGGAAGTGACCAACGCATGCACGAGGATTTGGCCGCATTTGGGAAAGGTACGAACAGAGGCGGGCAATGTGACGGAGGTGGAGGAAGCCGGTCCTGGTCAGGGACTGGATGTGGGGGAGAAAGGACAGCTGGGGGTTGAACCGGATGCCAAAATTGCCCACTGGTTTGGTAAGTCTAATGGAGAGCCCAGGGAGGTTGAGGAATTAAGATGCACAGGAGTGGAGACGTTGATGGGAGCCAAAGAGTATGGCTTACGTTTTGTCCATATTCAGCTGCAAAAAGTCATCGGACCTGGAGTTGGCACTGGAGGAAACAAAGTAGACTTGTGTGTCATCCGCATACATGTGAAAGTTTACCCCATGTCTGCGGATGATATTGCCCAGAGGGAGCATATAGATAAGGAAAAGAAGAGGGCCAAGGAAGGTGACTGGGTGGGGGCAGGAGGAGAAACAATTTGCTGAGATGAAGTGCAGGCGGTTGGTTACGTAGGACTCGAACCATGCGAGTGCTGTCCCACTAAGGTCGATGAGGGAGAGGCGGTGGGGGAGGATGGCATGGTCGACAGTGTTGAATGCGTCAGAGAGATTTCGGAGGATGAGGAGGCAGAGGAAGCCCTGGTCATAGATAGAGAAGATGTCGTTTGTGACTTTGAAAAGCACTGTCTTTGTGCTGCGAGCAAAACCCAGACTGCAGGGGCTCAACAATCACAAATATGTCCAAAGTGGAAGCCAATGCTGAGCCAGGAATTAATTGGGGAAACTTTATCATCGCTGCTTGCTTGTTCAGTCCATTCATCGAATCTGCTTCAGGCTTTTGCTTTTCACTGGTTGTATCTAATTTGTCTAATTGTAAAATAGGCACATGTTCTAAAATTGCTTATGAGTAGCTAGATTTCCATAAATATTTTTGAATAGGATTGATTACTTGACAAGAACTGTTTACCAAATGCACATGCAGTTTATTATGCCACTACATTAGCTGGTCAGCAATGCCTCTGTAATAGTTCATTTTGTAAATGTACAGGTTGCTATGTTATGAAGGATACATGTTGGGAAGGGCTTAAATTCAGTCACTGTTCTTTGAAGAGTTAGTTAATTTCAAATGGGTGGTGATTACAAACTCTTATGATTCATCTCGCTCTCCCAAGATGAGAAGAAGATTATTGTTGAACTGGCAGCCAATGCTCTGTCTAGACGAAGGATTGTTGGTGAACTTTGGTGAATTACTGTAAGAGCTCTGGTGCTTATGGTACTTCTGTGACCCATATCATCCTGTCCACTCCCTCAGCTCAGCAGGCTCCGGCATGCCACCATCATCGGTCGATCCTTCAGCCTCTCTGCCCCAACCTTTGGAACTCCAACCCACAGTCCTTTCGCCTTGCGTCTCAAGACCCTCTTCTTCAACTGAGCCTTCGGCCACCCTCCTATCCTCCCTGCCCTGTACCCTCCCTGCTCCCAACCTCCCTGCTCGGTTCAAAATTCCTGACTGTCCAACACCTTGGGATGTCCCCCCGACGTGAAAGGCACTATACAAAAGTAATTTGGTATTGTAATTTGGTAATTGATCCATAGAAAAAAATATATAAATATCAATGTTGTATTCTATTTAATGGCATCTATTATTTACTTAATAGTATTATTTACTTATTAAAATTAATATTAGTGCAAAACCTCACCAAAATATTGTAATATGTATTGCTGATTCTTCAGTTCCTTCTTGGAAAACAGATTTTAAAGATAATAATGGACAAATTGAAAGTGATGTAGTTAATTGTAATGTGATTAAAAACTTTTATTCTTTGTTCTTTCCCCTTTAGGTAGTTGGAATATTTGCCGGCTTTGGCCTGCTGCTGTTGGTAGCTTCACCATTTCTGTTGCTTGCCACACCATTTGTTCTCTGCTGTAAGTGCAAATGTAACAAGGGAGATGATGATCCTTTACCTACATAAGTCTAATGCCCAGAGACAAAAAAAACAAGACGTCTACATTGTATGAACATTCTTTCCTATCTCCAATCATCTTAACTGCCTTATTTGACTATCATGCTTTACAGTGCCAAAATGTACTGCTTCGAATTACTCAACTGTTGCACACTCCAGAGTCTCTAAAGAATACAGTCAATAAAAAAGCTGAGAGGCAGAAATGGATGCCCAGCACACAGCTATTCATGTAATTGTCTCACTGGTCAGAAGCTCTGGATTTCATGTAGTAAGCTCGAAAATAATGTGCTTCAAAGACTCCAAAAGAGGCAATAGTTTTGACAGTGTGTGGGGCAGATGAGTTGCAGCTATACATTTAAATGCATAATAGGCACATTGAAACAGTTATGTAAATATGAATGTTGTATTATATGTTATACAATCTATTATTTATGTTTGAAAGTATGATTATTGTTTCAATGCAAAAACAAACTATCTCCAGAGGGTCCCAATGCATAAATATTTAATCCAAAAAGCTTTTGACGGGTTCTTTTAGTTGATTTGAATTTGACATTTAATGGTTTCATAATTACCAGAAGGTGTCGCCTTCGATCTGTGAGTATTCATACCAGTCCACAGTAATAATAACTTCTCTTTACATTTTATGTGCTGCTTGTAAAATTTGAATATACAGCCACCTCGTCCTTTTAATAACCTATTGTACTGCTGTTATCATTTTAACTGCAGAAGCCAAGGATAGTTGCTGCCTATGACAGGTTGTATGCTGTAGCAGTCCTTCATTACATGCCAGTAACAATCATTGTACGTATTGACAATTGGGTTCCAGTGGCCTTTTCTTCCAAGTTGTTATAGCTTTGGTTTTCATTGGAGTTTCATATGTAAATGTAGTCATGTCTAATTGAATTCCTTAAAAAAACACTGAATTGCAAAATGGGATTCTTTCTAGTAAATCGAAATACGTCATGTTGGCCTGCTGATCTGCAGAGTGTCTGTACTGTCTCGTGGCAAACTTATGGTTATCAGTCTCTATTTACGGCTTAGTTGTTGTTAAGGAATTGCATACAAATCACTGTCTTTTAGATCTAATCAGCAGAAGAGAAACAAATCAGTCAAGGCAGATCAAAAGAAATAGTTCAAATTGACCCCTGAAGTGAAAGGCACTATATCAAATGTCAATTATAATAATGCTATTGTTATAATTTTTCACACTTGGTTTGCACAATAACTGACGAGCAACACCTTATGACTATTCTTAAAACCTGAAAATAGATATTGCCCCACTGCTGTTGCCTGCTAAAAGCAATGTAAATTCTGATCTGCTCTTCATTGTTAGAGAAAATTGAGTTCCTTTAAAATCCTCTGCCATAGAGGATTGACTGATCTATAATAACAGAATAACAAAAGGCCTGTTTTTCAAAGGCGGGCTTGTCAGATTGAATTTAATTTGTTTGCAAACATCCTTTTCTATGGCTTCAGTTGCTTCTGCTGTTCATTTTCCCTAACTGTTTCATTTCCTAAATATCTATAGTTTCCTTCAACAAACTTGAACCTTCTGTGACCTTGCAGATTAGCAGATAATAGTAATAATAAAAAATAATAATTCTTGCATTTGATATAGCTCTTTTCACATATTTTAGACATCTGAAAGCGCTTCACAGAATATACTGTAAAGTGAATTGACTTTATATTTGTGGGCGAAATGAGGCAGACAATTGCGCACAGCAGTGTCCCACAAACAGTCGTGAATTGAGTGACCAAATTTTTAATTTTGTTTTCTTGATGATTATTATCAGGCGTGTGGAGTAAGGAAACTTGCCCAAGGTTTCACCCTGCCGGAAATTGAACTCAGGTCTCTCGCTTGGGAGGCGAGTGCTCTAACCACTGAGCTACAGGACACTACTGGTAATGGAGTTGAGACAAGAGACAGGACTTTTAACAATGAGCAGTGAATGTTATGTTGCAATAGTCATCTTATTTATCAAAATGAAAGAAAACACTTCTGACTTTCTGGAAGGCGTTTACCTTTTTTGACCCTTTGTGGTGAAGGGAAAAGGGTCAGAATATATGGATGTTATTAGAGGGAAAGGAATTTTAAGAAATATTAATTAAAATTTAAGCATTAAGGAGGGAAAGTAGGGCACGACTCCATGTTACTGCCATTTTGGATGTCTATATTGTTCTATCATGATTTTGTGCATGGTTGTTTGTGTGTTGCAGCAAATTAATATGGCTTTTATACTGTGCTTCCTACAGTATGGCCTTCTGTGCCAGAGTGAAAGAACTGACAGTCCAGCACCTTTTTTTTTCTTGTGCTTGGCCCTTTTTTTTATATTTGCTGACTTTGCCTCTAAATTGCCACATAGCCCAATGCTGTTCTGAACATTCCCAGAAGAGAATATGGTGTCAATATATAAATAGGGGCAACTTGCTGATCTGTTTTCAAAATGGTCTGAAATGATGTTGGTGCTACTATACATTATGGATTGCCTCCACATGCCTACCTGTCCCATTAAACCATTGTTAGAGGCTTGCTGGCATCTAGGTATATACCATCTAAGACACTGCTGTGCGCAATTGGCTGTTGCGTTTTGCCCACAAAATACAGTTAATCCACTTTACAATACATTCTGTAAAGCGCTTTGAGACATCTCAACGATGTGATAAGGCGTTACATCAAATGCAAGGAATATTATTATGATACTGTATTCATTAGATCTGCTACTGGGAAATGGTCACATCTGTTCTGTTTTATCCCCCTACAAGTGATTCCTCTTCTGGAGGTGTTTGACTCTTTCTTCCACATAGTTTGGATCCCATGGGTCATGGGTGCCTTCTGGTGGCATTATTTTCCTATGAGCCTTGATAATTAGTTGTAGTGAGCATTGGGCACTGGTAGTGATTACGAGCAAGCAAGAAGCTGAGTTGATTCCCCCCTCGCCCACACACACCTTACTGTCTCATGGGTGCTTTCACATGTTAAATGACTCTGTGCTGCCTGGCTGAAAATCAGTCCACTCAGCCACGAATTCAAATCTGCTACCTTCCCTGTCTGTCGTTACTGGCTAAACACACTGAGTCCATGGGAAGTGTCTGCAGAAAATGTTTATCACATAGTGCACCTTTTTTTAAATCCTTGTTCTGCCTAGATATTCTGTTTCCAGAATTGCCTTCTGTAAGAATTGTCAGAGTTAAGTGTTTTGAATGCATATAAGTGTGTAATTTCACACTTGCCCAGAATTCAATCATTTTTCAGTATTCCTTTGTGGGTTTGCACCACAGCATTGTGGAGGTCACTTCCTGCCACCAGCTGAACTGCGGATAGGTTATTGGTCCCCAAGAACACTGATCAGATCTTTACTCCTCTCTCTAGTTCTGGGTTCCTTTCAGTTAGTTCCTTTACTTAACTAAAATTGGCATTTTGTTCATTATACATTAATGCATCATTAATGTATTATTTATTAACTAATTGAGGTAAATGACACTTGTTACTGTGTCCATACTTTGAATTGATTGCCAAGCATTGTTATTTGGTATTTAAGATTATAATCCAATGTGACAGCATATTTTGTTCTTCTCAATAGTGCACACATAAGTGTAACCTTTTCCCCCAAATGTATTGTGTTTCAGGGAAAATATAGGACAGTGATGAATAACTTTCTGCCAGTTTTTAGACTAAAGGGACTGACTTAGCAAAATATTCTAGTGATTGCCATATGAGAGCCTCTGGCATGAATATATTTATTCTCTGAGGGAGTTGAAAAACCACAAATCTTTCACTGACTACCAAAGATACAAGATGTTGGGAAACACAACAGACTACATTATTCAGTCCAACTTTGATATTTTGATTGACCCAACATTACTGAAGCCAAGGTGCTTTACAATATATGGTTATTTATGTCAGTATGAATAACACTTTCAGTCAGTTCATTTCCATAACATAATAGTAATTTAGTTCCTATTTAAAACTGTTAATTAATGTAGCATTCACTGCTTTTCAAAAAAAATAAATCGTTGACTGCAAAGCTTCCTTCAACTTAGAGATAGCTACCCTGTAGAAAGAAATTCAAATTAAGGGTGATAAAAATACTTAAATCAGGCTATGAAGTGGCCTTACGTCTCAGGGAGAACTTCATGCTTTTTAAACTAATAATAATTTGGCCACACTGCTGTGCGCAATTGGCTGTCGTGGTTCGCTCACAAAATACACAGTCAATCCACATTACAGTATATTCCATGAAGCGCTTTGAAATGTCTCAATGACTTGATAAGGTGCTATATCAAATGCAAGGATTTTTCTTATTTTTATTGGGCTAAATAAGTGACAAAGTGTTTAAAAGCCATTTTATAAGATTTTTTTCCTGCACAAGGATCGGATACTAATTTTAGGCAGCTGCTACTGATCACTGAGAATTATTTCAGCAAATAAGGGAAAAAACTACACAGATTCTCCTAGCATTTTAATGTTAACAGTAGTTTCTGTTTATCTGTTTCCTCTCCAGTCCATGTGTTTCAGCCAAGACCATGTTTGTCTAATTCTCGACCACTATTTTGTGTGCGCAAATTTTTCTTGCAATGTTTTGTTTATTTTTGTATTTTAGTTTCTTCAATCGTCCATGTGTCTGTGATATGCATCCTTTCCAAGATCCTGTAATTATGGGAACTGAATTTTTTTCTGTTTTTTGTGCAACAAAGATGCATTTGCGTTTTAAATTCGAAAGTGATTCAAATCAAACCTGGACAAAGCTCCCAGCCGTACAAGTGTAATTTAAGTGTTCATACATTCCAGCTGCTCACATAAATGCTGTCTGTGTGATGTTCTTCATGTATGTGTGGAATAATATACAATATTTAGTAAAAAAATATACAATATTTAAAATCCTAATTCTACACCTACATAGTGTAGACCAATATCTATGTAATTATTATGTGACGAATATCTTGCCTTAATGAAGATATCCTTAATTTTGTGGTACCTCAGTCAATGGAAAGCTGCATTTTCAGCTCTAATATAACCAGGGAATTCCTCTGCCAATATCAGTTATAGGTACATCAAAGCACAATTCCTTAGAAAAGCCTGCAGATTGGCACTCACGTTAGTTGCAAATGCTGCCTAGGAGCATACATTGGATACAGTCCTGCATGCTGGCCCATGGGATTACCTGGAGAGCCAATAATTTGTCATCAGAGTAGCAATCTGGTATAAGGAGAGCACTGAAATAACTATGTCTTGGGCTGAGATTAAATAAAATATATAAATGCCTTCAATTCAGTAGGAGATCTTTTGGTTACTTTTTCTTATCATTGTTGAAGGTTCGCCATTCTTTGCTATTCTTTACCACAAGCACTTAGAAATGTTAATTTTCTTTAATTATTTATGACCTGTGCAAATGGATATATTACGCACTTGAGTCGCACTGGATTATTTAATATATCAGCATTTGAAATGATCATTTAAAATGTTCTAATAGTAAATCACCGTCTGATAGTGATTCATTTCCGTGCCATGACCCACTCTGCCTTCCCCCACCTCAGGAACTTGCCCAGCTTCTCCACTGCCTCTCCCCCGAGGCTGCCAAAACCCTTATCCACGCATTTATTACATCTAGGTTCGACTTCAGGATCCTCAGTCTTGTCTTTGTCAAACACTCGGCCCTGGGATTCGTTATTGTGAAGCGCTCTGAGATGTTGTCCGGCGTGGAGGGCACTATATAAATCCTAGTTGTTGTTGACTACGGCAACTCCCTGCTTGTCGGCCTTCTTAACTCTTCCCACCACAAGCTGCAGATCATACAGAACTCTGCAGTTCATGTCGTCTCCCGCACCAGGCTCCATGACCCTATCACCCCCACCCTCGCGCGGCTCCTAATGCCCCAGAGGATAGAATTCAAAAT